GGAATGCTGCCAGGCAATGCACACACTCAGCACAGAGGGAGCAGTTCGTTGTTTAGAGGTGCCAAAGGCATCCGAAAGGTGCCATGAAAACATCTTGCTGCCTGCTGACAACGGGAACGTTTTGCCTCGGTTTATTTATCTATACAAAGGTCTTTACTGGGCGTGTTGGAAAGTCACTTAAGCCTTTATGGTCCTGTCATGTCATTACTCAATGTGATGTGAAACTGCCCCTTTTGTCAGTGTTTGCTCATAAGGGAGTCTTTTATGGCTCTGCTTCCTGTCGTTAGGGTAAGGCTTCTCTGAAATAGTCTGTGCTGCTGCAGCCCTTTTACAGTGATGTACGTCTGTCAGTTTTGTTTCCATGGCTTCTGCACCTGCAGCATTCCATCTATGGCTGAATGAACTGGGCATGAAGAGAAAAGCAAATGGCAGAACTGCAGTTGGAAGATCACTCTCTGAGTTTGGAAATGATTTTTTTTTTCCTGCCCGTATACAGCTTTGTTTCCTGAAGTCATAACAGATGGGGGAAGAGCCAGGACAGGGTTGCTGCAGAACTCTTCACTTGATAGAGTATAATAATTTCCATACTTTTTGAAGGGATTCATTAATCTCTTCCCTATAAAATACCTAGCCTTGCACTAAAGCTTAATGTAGTTTGGCAACACTTTCCCCATTGCACCTGTAAAAGATATTACTGAAACAAAATGATAGATTTTAGCCATGGAAACCAGATTTCTTTCTGCATAGGCAAGCTCTGTCTGAAGCACAGGGCAGAGATGAAGGCCACATAAAGTCACCAGTGTTCAAATGAGGTGAAGCACCTGCCTTACAGGGAAAACCATGTGATTAGTTGTTGGAATTGCAACAGTCAGCTTTATAATGGTGATGGTTGTTACCTGAGTTTATGTAGGCTGCATTTTGTGTTACCATTTGCTCTGAAGGCTGTGTGGAAGTATTTGCTGTTGTGCAGTGGGTACCCATAAGAACAGCAGCAGTGCTTTGAAAGGAATGCAAACGATGCTGTCTCACTCTGCAAAGCTGCTGCTCTCTCACAGCTCTCACATCTGTCCTCACAGCTGCCATACTGACTGCCAAGATCCGCACTTTTGAGGAACACCTTCAGAGGCATCCCAAGGTAACTACCAGTAATTCCAACCCACACGTCTGAGGCAGCGGCTGTTCAGATTGTTTTCTGAGCTAAGGACAAAAGGATTTTAATGCTGGGGATTATGGCTTTCCTAAGATGGTCTGTAAGATAACAGTAACTGCTCCTTGCTGTCAGTCTGGGAAACTGCTGGCTCAGTTGCAGCTGCATTTGCACCAACTGAAAGGTGGAATGTGTGCTTTTTGGTTACTGAGTTGTTGGAGATGGCTGAGCAGATACCTTGGAGCAGAGCTCAGCTAAATCTACTGATCAGGTTTCATTGCTTAGCTGTCAGCATTACTAATGTGATTGCTTCAGCCATATTCTTCCTCTGTTCTACTGTAAAAATATTTATGGACAGGACTGCATTAATGTCATAATGGCTGTTTCCCCATCTAAAACTACGTGGGTTTGAAGCCCAAACGCAAAACATCACAAGTGTAATTTTATGAACAAGGTCTATTGAAGATTCCTAATGCCATGGAAAAGGTAAGGAGCAAATGAATCAGCCGTGTCTGAAAAAAGTTTGTAGCTATTAGCTAATCATAAAAGCTTGAAGCCTAAAACAGAGGAGAATTTAGTTTTAAGAACACAGAAGTTGTACTAAACGTTTCAGCAGAGAAGACCTTTTGAAAGTACTTGAATCAAGCCTATTTTTAGATGAATTGCTTGTAAAGTGTAGGGAGATGGCTTCCATGAGAGAGAGCCTTGAGTGGTGTGAACCGAGCTATGCATATTCTCTTCCAAAGAACAAACCAAACTGTCAAATAGAGCCAAGATTTTATTTTCGCCTTTAAATCCTGGAAAAGCAAAAACAAGAAAAAAGAAAGAAGTAAAAGCCTGTGTTATTTCTGGAAATGTACGCTTGAGGGGAAGCAGAGCTTTTAGCCAGCAGACCTTCACTGCATTCCTCGCCTCCAAGACTTGGAGAAAGCAATTTCACTGCAAAGTAAATCAAGTCTTCGTGAACCTTCTTGTAGTGACCTAATGTTCTTGCAATACCTGCTAAGAAAAATTGCTCTCGGATACTGTCCTTAACCTGATTGTGTCCTTTTAGCCATCATCTGCTCTGTTCTAAGTAATTTATTGGGATGAAAGAGCAATCTATCTGCGATCCAGTGAACGTGAAGTCTTTTGCAGGATAAAAATAACCGTCGTCGCATGCTGATGGCCATGGATCGCCGCAACAAACTGCTGGCCTACCTTCGCCGTGTCCGCTACGATGTCTTTGAGAACACCTGCAAGCAGCTGAACATCCAGTACACACCACGCCCTGCCTACTTCAGGAGGGTCACCAAGCGCTGGGTTGTTAAGAAGGCTTTCTGTGTCAAGGTATGGAGCGAGCCAGAGAGAAAGCTGGGTAGCTGGAGCAGAAAAAACCTTGTAGAGGATGCAATTGGAACAGATAGCTGGCAGAAGCTGATAGATAAAAGGCCTTCAAGTCAGTGCTTTAGATTTGAGGAGACAATGGTGATATAATGACTGTAGAGCTCGGCAAAGAGCTCTGTGAAAGGTGGTTACTTAGTGGGAGGTGAAGCACATAATGAGGGTGTACCATGCTTAAGAACCTCAAGTTGAGCTGCTGGTTTGCACAGAAATGTATGATTCAGTGTAGCTTTTCCTCAAAGGTAATAGGTAAACTATTAAATATGATGGCAGTGTTAGAACAGAAATATGCATATGGTCATTGTCTGTTCTCATTTACTCTGAATATGTTGACATAACAGCAGAATCAAAAAGCTCAACAATGCCCTCAGTCTAGAAATACTAAATTTCAATCCAGTAAAATTATAAGAGATTGGATAGCTATTGCTCCATACCTCAGAATGGTGCCCTAAATAACGGGCTATTTGCAGACCCCTAGGAAGACACGAAGGAGCTGATCTCACTGAACACTCTGCTGCAGGAACTTAGATCCCACTCTGTGTTGCAGTGAGCAGTGGTGGTGGAATGGCTGTGGTGGGCAACAGACACCTTTGACCTTCCCTTTCTCCCATATTCTCACCTTCTTTCTGCAGGTTTTCCAGGAGGCACGGAAGCTGAAAGCAGAAGAGAGGCTGAAGGAGAGAAGAAAGTGGCAAGAGAGAGCCAGAGCTGCAAAGGAGAAGCAGGCACAAAGTGAGGGGACGCCTGTATAGCAGCACATTGGGTCTGTGATACAGCCAGCCTCTCCAAAAATAAAGAACTCCCAAAAGGCACACGGCCTCTTTGTTTACGTGCACGCATGGTCTGCACAGTGTGAGTACCCAAAATAGTGCAGTGAGTGGCTAAGTGTTTTAGAGCTTTGCATTGAACTGCTTTATCAGATTATGCCCTGAACTGGGTTTTTTTCTGTGCTGAGAGGAGTTCTGGGGTGTTCCCAGTGCCTTTCTGAAGGCAGCGATGTTTTTAAATGACAGGGAGGTGAGGCTCTAGCACAGGTTGCCCAGACAAGCTGTGGCTGCCCCATCTCTGGCAGGTGCCCGAGGCAGGTGGGACGCGGTCCTGGGCAGCCTGAGCTGATGGGGGGCAGTGCTGTCCAACAGCCAATTCCTGCAGCGTCCCATCGCGGTTCCTTGCCGCAGCCACGACCGCACGGAGCTCGGCACTAAAAGCATTCAATGGCAGTCATTGCACCCTCACCCGCTGGGCGGCGCAGCGCTCAGCACAACGCCCACCTGCCAAGACGGCGCTTTCTGATTGGTCGCGCCAAGACGGCTCCTTCCGATTGGCTGAGCCGTTGCCCGGTGACGGCGGCTGGCGGCTAGCTACGGGCGCCATGCCGGCGCGAACGCTGCCGCTGCTGTTCCTCAACCTGGGCGGAGAGATGCTGTATATCCTGGACCAGAGGCTGCGCGCCCAGAGCATCCCAGGCGAGAAGGCCCGAAAAGGTGAGCTGCCCCGCCGAGCCCCGGCTGCCCGCGTCGGATCTGTGGGGCGGGGGCCGGGCCGGGGGTCGCGCGTTGGGGCCAGGCTTCGGCCTCCCCCGAGCAGCAGCGGGCCGTGAGAAGAAGCAGACGGGCTCCGGAAGCACTCAGCAGCGGGCCTGGCCCTGCCTCGCTGCTCCTGTCAGGCTGCTGCCGAACCAGCAGAGATCTACTGTTCCTTTCCACATGCTCAGCTTGTTGGTAATAACTCCCGTAGTAACGCAGGAATGGGCACAGATACGCTCACCGTGGAAGGGCAGAGCAATAGAACATCACTCAGCCATAGAGCATTGCGGCATGTCGTCAGAAGGAGCCCTGGGGATGTGTTTCAACCCCACGGTGTCGCAGCTCTGTCACAGAAGTTGGTCACATGTTTCTGCTGTCTGAAAATAAAGCCCTCTAAGTGAAATAAATTTCACAACGTTTTTCTAATAGTGGCTGTTGGAATGTGTTACTGAAGGTTGCCCCCATCTGCATTACTGTGTCCAGGTCTGGAGCCCCCAGTACAAGAAAGACAGAGAGCTGTTGGAGAGGGTCCAGAGGAGAGCCATGAAGATGATCAGGGGACTGCAGTACCTCTCCTACAAATACAGGCTGAGGGAGCTGGGCTTGTTCAGCCTGGAGAAAAGAAGGCTGCGGGGTGACCTCACTGCAGCCTGCAGTACCTAAAGGGAGCCTACAAACAGGAGGGGAATCAACTCTTTGAAAGGGGAGATAACAGCAGGACAAGGGGAAATGGTTTGAAGTTGAGGGAGGGGAGATTTAGGTTGGATGTCAGGGGAAAGTTCTTTGCTATGAGAGCGGTGAGGTGCTGGAACAGCTGCCCAGAGAGGCTGTGATGCCCCGTCCATCCCTGGAGGTGTTCAAGGCCAGGTTGGATGGGGCCCTGGGCAACCTAGTATTAAATTGGGTCTAGCATTAAATGTGGAGGTTGGTGGCCCTGCATGTGACAGGGGGTTGGAGATTCGTGATCCTTGAGGTCCCTTCCAACCCGGGCCATTGTGTGATTCTGTGAAGGTAATTTGGGAGAGGTGCACAGTGGGATAGAGCTGGCTGTGCTCAGAAGGGAAGCTGGCACTTCCCCCTCCCTGCTGCTGGTTGTGTAGCCTTCAGTTTGTAGCTCTGACTAAACGTAGCTGTGTATAGTGAGTGTCTGAATGAGGTCTGCATGTCTTTTTGTATTTAAAAAGCAGAAAGCTTGAGTTCTACTATTTTACTGAGATGTCATCTTCACTGAGGCATTTCTTACTGCTTACAGCTGTTCACTGAAATATTGTTCACTAATAAGTGCCAAAAAAAGACCAAAAAAAAAAAAACCAAAACTGAATTTCAGTCAAGGCGAAATTTTCGCTCTGTTGAAGCACCAGGATTTTCCAGGGGAAGAGCAGGGTTTCATCTTTTATGTGGTCCTTGAAACTGAAAGATGCCAAATAGCAGAAGGGCATCAGGTAACAGCAGGGTTTTTTCTTGCTAAACACAGAATGCTGATGAGAAAAAAAACAAAGACCATTAGTTAGATATATATATTTTTTCTCTTTATTTCTTTTCTCCTCCTTGAAACTCCCATTCTTACTTCTTGAACTGATGTTTTTGTTTTGTATGCTTCGTGTAGATGAATGGACAGATGTGGACAGGAAACGAGGTACTGTAATCTGGCTGCATGCAGTTGATAACACCACTACATGCACACGTGAGGCTCGTTGTATGTGAACACACTGTATGCTGTTCTGCAGCCCTCCAGTGATGGTGTCAGGGAGGAGTGATATTCTTTAAAAGATGCTTTAGCTATAAATAGGGAATATTTCCAAATCATATCACTTAAAAAACAAAAAGAAGGCAATTTGTTAATTTAATGAAGGTGATGTCTGTAGAGAGATCATAACCTGTTATCATAGTGTTAGTTTTTCTAACATCGTATCAAGGCAAGCAAATAATTGTGTCAGCATTGTGAGGTTTTTCTGCTTACTGGCAAGAATGCCACCTACATGCTGCATTTCTCTGAGATATTTCTAATTCACTGCTTAGGGTTTTGAAGAGTGAACTCCAGGAGAGATCTGAGGCCCTTCCATGCAGCTGCTTACCCATCCCTGCCAGTGGTCACCATCCCTGCAGCAGAGTGACCACAAAGGAGCATTTATCCACGCTTCAGCCAGGCCCATCTTGACGTGAGTGATCACTGGAGATGGTCTGAGCTCAGGTTTTGCAGGTTTTTGTGATTTCCTTTTGTGATTTCCTCTGCCTGCAAATGGTGGGGGTCAGGGTGCAGTAAGCAGCTGGATGAGAAAGTAAATCTCTTAAATGATCCCATTTTTTTTCTGTCAGGTGAACTGCACTGTCTTTAAGCAGCCCCCTTTTAAGAGAGATCAGCCTTATGATTTGCTGTTTGTTTATTTTCAAAGTAAGTCCTTACTGGGTTTTGAACATTTACTGAAGGTAAACAGGAATACCTTGGATTTATCCTCCACTTCTTCACTCCCATTGCATGCTGTTTGTAAGAACGTGCTTTTCCAGCATTTAATATCTCAGAAGTGTAAAAGATGCCGCGTTCCCCTCTTGTATCACATCCAAAACAGAGATAAGTTTTATAAGATCCTGCCTTATCAGATTCGGATGGTACAGGCACGAAAACTGATCTCTTGTTGCCGATTCAGCGTTTCCTGTGAGAGGAAAAAAAGCCCAGCCTGTGAGTCGTGCTCTCGGGATGATCTCTGAAACATGGACACAGAACAGGCAGCAGAGCCCATGGCTGCAGGTAAAGGCAGCAGCGAGGCACTGCCTGTGTCAGCTTTGTTAGGAGCTACAGAGCCCTGCAAACAGATGTGTGACCGCCTCGGATTCGTACCATTCCCTTCACTGTCTTGAGTGTCCTTGGAGAAGCATGAGCACAATCCAGATGTGCAGACTGCAGTCTCATGCCATGCATACGAGCCGCGTCCCGTGACGGCACAGGAGGCTGAGATGTGTCAGTGTGCAGCGACACGACAGAAACCGCTCTGAGCCTCGGCTTCTCCTCCGTCCATTGCACTGTCTGTACCCGGTTTCCCTCTCCCCATCCCGGTTGATGAAATCCCCCTCTGCTAAATTGCTTCTCTGCTGTGTTGCTTGGCGTGCCGTTCCCCCTGAGCTACACTCCTTTCTGTTTTCTTTTCCATTGTTAGAATGGTGTAAGCACGTCCTTAGGGACTGCCTATGCTCCGAGGTCTCTGTCATTATCCAGTGCACCTCGTGAGGTTTGCCCTTTGCTCTGATATTTGATGTCTTTCTCAGTGATTTTCGTAGCCAATACAAGAGATTTTAATTTCAGAAGATAATCTTTAAGGCTTCTCCTGTGCTTAACACAGTTCTGATTCCATTCCAAGTATCTTCCAGCTGCAGTGGCACACTGTGAGATGTTTTGTCTCCTGACAGCGCTGGTTATCAGTGACCCTCCTAAGATGGAGAAGTCTTTGTGCAGACAACACGTGTGGGAAACTTCACCAAAAACTCTTCCTGATTGCAGCCTAAGGCAGAAGTTCTTATTTTTGTCCTAATTGACTACATGCAGAATTGAATGCATAATAATACATTGTATTTGCTTTTCTCCACTGGAAGAAGGGAGGATTTTTGCATCACGCTGCACGCAGAGGTGGTTTTGTGGCCAATTTATCTGTGGAGGAGAAAGGAATTATTTTCCATTGGTAATGAGGCTTGTTTTTAATCCACACTTCAGAAGGCACTCGCCCTCTAGAAACAGCTGTCAGCGTCCAGGTGCTCAGCATCTCTGACAGACCTAGCAGTGTTCCCGAGGTAATAATCATCTAAGAAAAGATGAAGTGAGTGGTACATTAACTTTGCTTTGCTTTTTCATTGTTGCTTCCCCTGAGATGTCCCTAATCCATAAGAATTAGCTATCATTACAAGCTTCAGTAGCAGTGATCTGCTTAGGGAAATTCACGCTTGTACAATAATCTCTGTGAATTGAAATTGATTTTTTTTTCAGTGTTTTTTGGTAGAGAAATAAATGCTTGTTTATGGTGATGCCGTAGAATGTATCAGATTTGTGACAGAGGCGTGGGATCCAGCAGGAAAGCTGGGCTGCTGTGTCTGCTTGAATCACTGCAAAAAAGCTCTCTATCTCCTTTGCACTGAAAGCTTATGAAGCAGAGCACAGACCTCACACTGGGTGCTCCTGATCCTCACCGAGTCTTCAGTAAGTCGTGTAACCACCTCCGAATTCATCCTTCAGAGCAAAGCTCTAGGAAGGAAGTGCAGAGCTGCCAGCTGTTGAACTGTGCCTGTTCTCAGCTCCCGGCCGGCCCTGCTCCGATCGCGGCGCTGCGAATGCACCCTGCACGCCTGTTGGTAGCAATCTGGTTCAGGGCATTTGGAATCATCCCTGGGCTTCTGTGTAGAAGAGAAAAACAGACTGATGGCATTAAGGGCAAAAAAGAGGAACAGGGACAGAGAGATAGCTATGGTTTGTGAAAAATACGTGTTAAAAAACCCAGACTGATGCAAAACAGTCGTCTTAGGAAGCAAAACTGTAGTCTTTCCAGATAATACATGCTAGCAAAGCCTGTAAACACAATTATTTTAAAAGAGGAAAGAGCCAGCCGTTGCTGTAAAAACAAGACAACAAACTCAGCCTTATTCCCACTGGCAAAACAAGGTTTGTTGTCTGCAGCTTAGAAACATCTCTGCCTCAGGGGACAGTCTGCAGAAATCCTGCTGCTTGCTCAGAACAACATGGCACTGAGAGAAGTGCCTGCATTAAGGCACAGTGCTCCCCGTCCTGCTGCTGCTGCAGCTCTGCACCACGTCTCCAAAGTGCCCTGGGAGCCTTCAGCATCGGGTTTGTGCGGAAGGATGAGGTGAGTGCTGTGCTTCTGAAGCAGAAACAGATACTCTCTGTCTTTGCAGTTATGAATGACATCATCACAACCATGTTCAATAAAAAATTTATGGAAGAGCTGTTTAAACCACAGGAACTCTATTCCAAGAAAGCTCTGAGAACCGTGTATGACCGGCTAGCTCATGCTTCAATCATGAGACTGAACCAGGCCAGCATGGATAAGGTAAAACTGGGATCTGTGCAGTGCTCACTGTGCTGTTTGCAGGTCACTGTACTTGGAAGCACTTTGTAACAAACCTCTTCCCACTGGATTTCTTTGTAAAAATGGCTCTAAGATGAGAAAACGGTGAGAAAATCTGTAGTAGTTCCAGATAATTCAGCACCTTAAGTGGAAATACTGAGTTTCACATGCAAGTGATTTTAAGAGGTTCAGTAAGCAATCTTAATCAGATTTTTTATATACAAAAAGTCTATATGTATATATATGTAAATATATATACATTTCTGTGCTGACACTCACTATTTTCAATGACAGGCAGAAGAACTCTTGCCTGCAAACAGCATATCTGGTGGTAAAAGGAAAAAGTCACAGGAGCTCACTTACCTGTCAGAGCTGTACCCTGGGTCACTAGTGTTGAAACTGCCAGCAGTGCTAAAGACTGCTGGAGAGACCCAGGGAGCAACAGCAGTGTCACTGTAGAGGTGTCATTTCCCTGGGAAACAAAGCTAAAATGCTTTCCTTACCCTTAAGCAGGTGTTAAAAGAAAAGAATGTTCAGAACCCTTTCTTCATGAGCATGGAATCGTTGCTGTGTGTGTTGCAATGGAACCAAAATCTCCCGTGTTGCTTTGCAGCTGTATGATCTCATGACTATGGCTTTCAAGTACCAAGTCCTGCTGTGTCCCCGGCCCAAAGACATCCTGCTGGTCACGTTCAATCACCTGGATGCCATCAAAGATTTCATCTGTGATGCCCCTGGCATTCTGAACCAAGTGGATGAAACTTTCCGACAGCTGATTGAGGTGAGAACCCTTAGCAGGATGGTGGAACACACGGATTTTCCTCTTCCAGGTTGGTCTTAGAGACTAACTGCTGCATCAGGCAGTGCCCCACTGAGAGTGGAGCTTGATCCAGCTGCACATACCAAGCGTGATTCAGCAGCATGGTTCCCTCACCTCGGGCTGTTTCTCTTCCAGGTGTACGGCTGTCTCTCTGCTGGTGAATTTCAGCTCATCAGGCAAACGCTCCTCATTTTTTTTCAGGACATGCACATAAGGGTAAGAGCCCAGTGTAACTGGTTGGTTAGAATATGGATGTGTCTCATTATAATCACACTTGGTGCTTAAGCTTTTTGGTCATCTCGATGTGTTTGTAACTTCAGTCTTCATGATTTCACATGCTGAGCACATCTAGTACAGTAATACTGAATAATTCTAACATGTCCTGGAGGAAAAAATAAAAACCCACTCCTAATTAGCTGTTTATTTCACAGGTGACTGTGTAGAATAATTTCTGATTCAGGTTTTCATTAGTACATGTTTTTTTGTAGACACTTGATATGGAAATAAGGACCTCAAACTTCAGGCCATGGGCCTTGATGCTCTGTAAATTAATTGATCATACTCAGATGCATGAAGGGCACACTTTTCTTTTCATACTGGATCAAATGTGCCTGTCCTCTGCACTACAGTAATACACTGCTGGCTTCAGCCCAGGCACATCAGAATCTCTAGGAAACCAATCCCAGTCTAGGCAGGAAGACTTCAGAGAACTCGGAACAGAAGACATGTAACTGATTCTCTAGAGGATGGAATGTTCTTTTGCAGGTCTCTATCTTTCTGAAGGATAAAGTGCAGAACTCGAATGGTCGCTTTGTGCTGCCAATATCAGGCCCTGTTCCTTGGGGTACAGAAGTACCAGGAGTCATCAGGTGAATACTGTTTGCAGTGCCTTGCATGTGTGGCTGCTCAGCAAGGAGCACTTAGTGCCAGAAGCTTAGAGTGTCTGCTGTTGCAAGGATAGCTGAACCTCCAGTGAGCTACTGATAAGGCAAGTCTGGCACTAAGTGACCCAGCAGTGAGATGCTAACTGTGTGTCTGCCATTCCCTATTCCAGTAAATTAGCTATTAGTCCTTTATCCTTTAAAACAGGTGTTTACCAGTGTACAGAATAGGGTTTTATTCCCTTTTTTTTTTGTACAGTAAGCAAAGGGTACAGTGCTGAAAAGCAGGAACAGATCTATTAAATTTGTTTCAATGTTGGGTTGTTTTTTAAGGATGTTTAATTGCAATGGAGATGAAGTTAAAAGAAGCGAGTTCACCACTGGTGGAAATTATGTCACTCCACAAAGGGAAGGATCTTTTGAACTTTATGGAGACAGAGTCCTCAAACTTGGAACAAACATGTAAGTCATTTTTGTCCTACATAGAAATACAGAGTGAACACTGATGATGGGTTTGTTCAGAAGCGTGTCTTCAGCCTTGTATATTTATTTTTTGCATCTCTGGCATTATCAGCTAGCTTGGCTACTTCACAAAGCCATTGTGTAAAACACAACACACAGCTAAGTGTGCATAAACAGCTGTGAGAAGGAGCCACAGTTTGATTCATGACTGAAAATAGTGCTCACTGTGCACTGCGAGTTCTGTGAAATGGAAATTCAGTTGAATTGCATTCAAGGAATTACTGTTTTTTTCTTCACATGTCATAGGTAATTCTTCCTTTTTCAGATTGAGTCAGTTATGTTCTTGCTTTGTTGCTGACATGTTTTAATGCCACAATACCCTGTAAAACAGAACTGTAACCTCTCAGCAGCTTGCAATCCTCAGAAAAAATATCCTGAAGTCATTTTTAGGCCCTGTGCTGCTCCCTGCTATTTCTGTATCACAAATAAATAACAGGTTGGTTTTCCTGGTGTGCTCTTCTCTCTAGGTACAGTGTTAGTCGGCCAGCAGAGACACACACGTCAGGATCATCCAAAACCTTGGCTTCCAGTGCAAAGGTTAATGCTTTTCTGATGCTGTCACTGGTAAAACTCATGACCCTGGCAGCAAGGTGTGTCAGCAAGGTCTGCAGGTGGTCACACAGGGCAGAGGGGTTTCACCACACTCATCAGACTTCACATTCTGTTTCCTCCATGCCTTGAGAGCTGCAGTCACTGATGGAGCGCACACTGCCCTCCTCCAGCTCATTCACTAGATAGCTGCGCTGTCTTCTGCTTCATTTCTGTTCTCATGTAACAGTAGCATCATTTTAGTCTGTACTCTGGGGTACCTGCCTATTTGTTTCTCTCCAAACCTCGTCAGTTCTCTGTGAGCCTCAGTTCTCACTACTGTCTGTGTGAGGCTATGGGCATGTTTTCCTAACTAATTGTAGACATAAGCTGATGAAGTGGTCTGCTGAAATCTTGCTTCCTCTTTTTCATTTCTTCAGAAATCGGGAAGCTAGGTTTGCTGATCTCACAGCTCCTTGATTTAGCTGAAAAACTGTCTGGTCCTGGGTCTAGAAATGCAAGCAACCACTTTATGAATATATGACTGATAATGAGGAGTTGCCTGTGCCATTAACAATACATAAATGTGTTTCTGCATATTGATGTAATTTTAGATTATGGTAACCTTGTTAGCCCTCTTTTTCCTAGCAATCCGACCAATGAACCTATTGCTGTTTTCTGCAGGAGAACGTAGCCCCGAATCCTCTTGCTAAAGAAGAACTGAACTTCTTAGCCAGGCTGCTGGGAGGTCTGGAGATCAAGAAACCTGGTGGCAGCGAGACGGGATTTCGACTGAATTTATTCATGACAGATGAAGAGGAAGAGTATGCTCGAGCTGGTTCTGGTCTGGGGTTTGAGATGTAGTGACATGTGGACAAGGCCTGGAGACTGAAGCTGATCCTTAACAGGGACAGATTTTTTAGGGACAGATTAGCAGCCTTTTTAGTATTTTCTTATCCATGTCCTGATATTCCCTGCAGGAACAAAAGAGGAGCAGTTTATCTGACTTTTTTTAAAGACTCAGCAAGGAAGGGGATTTGTGTTCCTGGTTTTTCAGTGATGCAGGGTCTCGTACTGCCTTCATGTGACACTGGTGGTCACCGGCTCAGTCTGGGCTGAGGTCCTGCCACAGATCAGGCGTTAGGTGCCTTCAGCCCCCTTAGCTTTCCTGTCCCCCGGACACTCATTTCAGAGAGAAGCTGGGGGGAGGTGAGGAGGCTTTTAGGCTGGAGCGCTGCAGCCCCCTCCCGGCAGGGAGGTGTTTCCACTGCTCCACGTTTAGAAAGCCCAAAGCAGGGATAAATGTCCAAAATGGGATCCGCATCCCAGTTTGCCTGGTAGAAACAGGAATGCTGTCTAGATTGCTCATCTGTAGGATCCTCAGGACGGACCAATGACAAACACTGCTGACCTTCTGTGGGATGGGTGGGATGTCACAGGATGACATCACGTAAAGCGCTCTTCATACTTTCAATCAAGGCAGGCGGCGCTGACGAGACCTGAGGAGTTATCCTACAAGGTTGTGAACATCGAAGCCACCGAGGTACGTGAATTCACTTGGAGTCTAACCGCTCCTCCTCCGCTCCCTAAAGAGCTTTACACGTCGCCGGTCTGAGCCCGTATCTCTGCGCAGGAGCCGGCGCGGCGAGCGGAGCTGGAGCGAATCCTGGGAGACCTGGAGGTGGCGGAGCCGTGCGCGGAGAGCTGCGGGAAGGGCGAGGATCTGCTGGCGCTGATGGACGGGCTGTGAGCCATTAAAGGCGTTCTTCCCAGCCTGCCTCCGAGCCGCCGGGCGGGGCGGGGCCGAACGGGGCGGGACGGAGCGGGGCAGCGCGCGGGGCCGTCCCTTCCTGCTGCCGGGCCGGGCGGTGAGCGGGCTTGGGGGCATCGGGATGTGCGGAGGGAGGGGGCTGCAAACGCTGCGGGTGCGGGGATGCGTGCGGCTTGGATGGGAGAACGGAGTGTGCGGGGTGGGAGTGCAGAAGGAGGGATGGGGGACGCGAGGGTAGCGCGCAGGTGGTTATGCGAAGGAAGGGAGCAGCGAGCACCGCCGTATGCGAAGGGAGGGAGGTAATGAGCACTCCGTGTGCACGGGGAGGAGCAGCGCGTGCCCCCGTGTGTAGAGGGCTGGTGGAACTGCCAGGCTGGTGTGCACATACACGAGCGTGCCATGCTTCCACAGCTGCACTGAAGCACGTGCTGGTGCCCAGTCCTGGAGGTCGAGGTGCTGGTGGGGCACAGCGCAGCATCTCCCTCCATTCATCTGCCACAGCCGCACCATGGAGGTCAGCCATTCAGTCAAGGAGCGCACCATCGCCGAGAACAGCCTGGTCATCCTGCTGCAGGGCCTGCACGGCCACGTCACCACCGTGGATCTCCGTGATGAGAGCACGGCCACGGGACGGGTGGCCAACGTGGACGCCTTCATGAACATGCGCCTGGCCCAGGTGACCTTCACAGACAGGCGAGGCGTGGTGTCACAGCTGGACGAGATCTTCGTGGCTGGCAGGAACGTGCGCTACGTGCACATCCCCGACCAGGTGGACATCAGGGCCACCATCGAGCGGCAGCTGCAGGCCATCCACCGCGTGCGCTACTTCGGGGGCCGCGACAAGGGCAGGAGGGAGTTCCCTCGTGCCAAGCACAAATGAGCCCCGCTGCCTCCTTGGTGGGACACCGAGTTTTTCTGTAATGAACAACCCAACTTCAAAGGGTCGGTGATCTTCGGCTCCATCCCTGTGCAACTGGCAGCTACTCTTCTATCCCTCTTCTTACGGTTTTTCAGCTTTCAAACAAAGCCCTTTTGGCCACAATGCCTGGCTCTGCAGTGATCCTTGGCTGTAGCCTCTTCTGCAGGACTGTGCCCCCCTGTCCCTGGGACCCGGCTGCTGCAGGGAGCCACGGGCCTGATCCTGGGGAGGGAGAGGGCAGTGCAGGGGTAAACCTGGGCTGTGGGCAGGCAGTGGGGCCGGGGGAAAAGAGGTGCTTTGCTCAGGGCTGCCACCCAGCCCTGTTCCTGTTCTTCATCCCCATTCATAGGGCTGCTGGCCCTGCAGGCATCATGGAGCCGAGCCTCCCGGCTGCCCTCGCACCGGCTCTGGCCAGAAGACCACGAACGGAGCGAGGCGGCCGTCCGCGGTTGCCATAGCGGTGGGGCAGTGCGCATGCGCGGGCGGGCGGGGCGGGGCTTGCGGCGAACGCACACTTTTTTCTTCCAATGGCAGCGCTCCGTAAGTTCCCACCTGCCCACCAATCCGCCGGCAGAGCAGGCGCCAATCAGCGGAGAGAGTCATTGCGCATCGGCCAATCAATCTCCACTTCTTGCCTCCGCGCAACAGCCAATCAGGACTCGCCTCCCATGAGGCCTTCGTCACTGCCAATCACGGCCGGCTTCTGCCCCGCTGCCCAATCAGCGCCGCCGTTCCTGCGTGGAGGCGGTCCAGCAGCCAGGAGGCGGAGCGACGCCGTTGGGGCGGGGCCGGGCCGGGCCGTGCGTCACTTCCGCTGTCAGGTGGCCGCCGCGGAGCGGAGCGGAGGCCGCGCGGGGCTGCAGGGAGCGGCCGCGCCGGCCCCGGGGCCATGGGTGAGTGGTGGGGCGGGCGCGGGGTCGCGCGGCGGCTGCGTGAGGGGGATGAGCGGCCCGGCGGTATCGTTGGGGCAGGGACCGCGAACGGCGCGTGGGCACGGCTGCTCCGCTGCGAGGCCGGAGGAGAAGCGTGGGGTGGGGGTCCCGGGTCTGGGTCTGGGTCTGCCGGTGCCGGTGGGGCCGGCGGTGCGATCGGCTCCATAGGGGCTCGTCGCAGCTCCGCACGGCCGTTCCGCAGCTCCGTGCCGCCGTGCGGCTCCGCTTGGAGGGCGGCCCGGGGGTCTCAGAGCCGCCTGAGTCCCGCGCCGTGGTTGCGCTCAGTGCTGCGGTGACTTTTTCTTGCTATCCAAACCTTTTCTCGACCGTTTTCCAGCAGCTCTTGCAGCGCAGTGTCCCTTAGCGCTGCCCGTCTCCTGGCTGAGCTGTCGGTCCCTGTGAAAGCTCCGCGCAGCAGCGGCAGGCGGTGTGCGAAAGCCAGATCGCAGAATCGTTAAGGTTGGAAAAGACCTCAGAGCTCATTACTGCTTCCAGGAGGGGCTGCTTCTAATCCCCGGGGCATTACAGAATCGTCTGCTCCTGAAGCCTCCCAGAGGTGCCCTGTAGGCACTTAATGCAGCCATTGAAGGACAGCCCTGCAGGTTCTGCCTGAGTTGTGCTCAGCCTGCGGAGCTGAGCGCTGAATTTAGAGGCTCAGTGCTGCTCTGCATTCCTGCACTGCTCTCATTCGGATTGGGATCGTGCCCGGCTGCTCTCCGGCTGCTGTCACTTTCGATATGAAATAGCCCAGTTTGGTTACCAACGTGCTTTTTTTTCCTCTTTTTTTTTGACTTACACCATCCATCAATGTACTTCCACGCTGCAAGCAATAGTAACGTTCACGTGGTGGTAGGATTCACCCGTGTGGGTGACGTCTGTGTTTCTCCCTATCTCGTTGGGGCTGATGAGTGGGGCATTGTTAGCAGCAGCCACACCTTGCTGTAAAAGTGTCAGCACGTGTGAGTCACACGCTGGTGTGTGTGTGTGTGTGAGGAAAGTCCTGCTGTGCTGATGGATGGCCGTGCACCTAGCAACGTCAGCTGTAAACGAAAATAATCCCCAGAGCAACGCGCCTCTCCCCCCTGCACCCAGGACGTGGGGCTGCACAGGGACGTGGCCGTGCTGCTGGGTGAAGGGATGAAGCTGGAATCGGTGTTTGTGTAACCCAGCAGGGAACTCCCAGCCGTGAGTCCTTGGCGAGCCCTCGTGTTGATGCATCAGAAGGGTTTGGAGCAGCCCAGCCTGCTGCCAGCTCGTGGTCACGGCGCTGGAATCCTGCGCTTTGGAACTCCCTGCTGGGGCTGGGAAGGGATTTCCTCTCCCTGTGCGGTTCTGCCCATGGAAGTGGCACTGCAGGGTGGTGGTGCGTCCCCAGCACTGCCTGCGCCCGGGGCTCTGAGTGCTGTGGTTGGGGTGCAGTGAGTCCAGCTCTGTGCCTCCCTGGAGCTCACTTGGTGCAGGGGGAAGGAGCTCACTGGGCTCTGGATTTCCAAGAAATCAGTGACTCAGGGCTGCTGTGTGCTCTGGAGAAGGCGGCTCTTCCCGGAAGGGCTCACGGCACAGCACACGGTTTGGTTGTACTGCTGGCTCTGAGTCATCCAGAGGATTTTTTTCTTTAATTCTTTGTATTCCTATTGCAGAACTGCTAAACTTCCACAGCTTTGGGTGTTCTTTCCGGCTCTGTACCAAATGTTGCAGTGTTAGGCTCCCAAAAAACCCAAAGCTGTCCAACAGACGCTGCTGGGCTCTGTTATCTGCCACTGCCCCAGCTCTGTCCCATCTCCCCTCTGTCACCCCATTTCCTTCCTTGCAGAGATCAGCTCCTCGGTAGCACTGCTCCATGGCCTTTGGCATTCCCTCATCACCCCAGAAGTTGTAAGCACAGACAAACCCACTTTGTGCCCCTGTGAGATAAAGCAGCAGAAAGCACAGCTGAGGTTGTGTCAGCTGTTCCAGTTCCTTAACTAGTTTCTGCGGTGCTGAGTAATCCTGTTCACACCCCAAAGGTACTATTTTTTCAGCTCCTGCTATTAACGGAGGACTGCAGGACCTGCTTGTTCCTTGCTCTGAGATGCACAGGGCAGCCCTCCTCCACTCGCTTTCCTTTGTTGCTGTGCTGGGCACTGGAACATTGCGTGGCAGTTCAGGAATTAGACAATTTCCTTAAGCTACCTAATGAAAAGACATGAGATCTGGACCTCTAAAATTCATTTGATTAACAGTTCTATCGAAGACACGATGCGGTAGGAAGCTCTAAATGCACTTCCCCAGTAAGGTTTTGATGCTTGCACTGCACCAGAAGTCATTGATGAATTCCTGTGTTCGACTCACAGCCTCACTGTCTGAGCCTGCTGGTGTCACAGATGGTGGAGCGGGGCTGTGAGCAGTTCCTGCACTGGGGGAGGGTGGGGAACCACCGTGTGAGCATCCATGGTGCTGCTGGGAGGAATCTCCTTCTGGCTCTTTGGTGGACTTTTGGATATGCTGTGTTGAGATGGATTTTGCTGGGGTTGAAATGGGTTGGGTTTGTTTTGTTTTTTGCAGTGGTAAGAGCTGGGAAAGCCCAGCAGTGTGAGGCTGCCATGGGCACAGAGCTGCTCCTCCATGCAGCACATCTCTGTGTTGGGATCGCTCCGTTGCAGCAGGATTGGTGCTGCCTGTTTGCTCCGTGCCCATCGTGTTTGAGGGGGAATTCAGCGTGCTGTGATCCCTTGCTGTGCTTGGAGCTGTGGGGCAATGGGCAGCTGGGTCCCAGCGTGCTGCTCCTGCCCTGAGCTGTCTCCACTCACAGCCTGGAGCAATCCTGAGCCTGGACTTGTGTGGAGCTGCTTCTTGCAGGATGCAGTTTGTGTCTGTGCAGCACCAGCTTTGTGTAGCACGTGTTTCAGGCAGGGGAGCCCCTTGAAGTGAGAGCTTCGTATCAGTGCAGCTCAGGATGAGATGGATTTGTGGGCAGAAAGCAGCAGCTGGGAACCTCCTGCTCTGCATTTGTGGCTTCTGCATCCAGTGCCTTCCACCCTGGCTCAGAGCACTCCTTCCAGCCCCACACCAGCCTGCTGCAGCACAGCAGGATCTTGCACAATGAAGCCGTGGCCCTTTGACCAGTTTCCCTGCTCTAATCAGGATTACACAACGTGCAGGAAAGGGAACAGCTCTGCTCTCTCACAGCAGCTGCCCCAGTGCTCTTCCTTTGCCCCGTGACCTTCACTGAAAGCACTCTGTGTGCTCTGTGCCTGCTGGGACCCCTGGAGCCCTTTGGGTTCTGTGGGCTGGGGGGGGTGTAGATGGTGTAGGCCTGGTTCTGGAGCATCAGATTTCAGTCCTAAATTTATCCTTTTAGTGGGACTGTGTGAGCTGGTAGGTAATGCTGACCATTGGTTGTGAAGAGGAACCCACTTGCAGTGAGGATCTGTAAAACTCAGTGTATCGTTCTCAGCCTTTTCCCAATGTTATTCTGTTCAAGTCCAAACTTTAAGAGTCAGCTCCTGTGGTGGTTTAGCAATTCCTCCCAGCACTGAGGGCTCTGTCACAGCAGCTCTGTCCCTCCCGCAGGCAGGGAGGGCGATACAGGAGCACAGCTGTGCCCACAGCATCAGGTGCATCTCATTCCATGTTGCAGAGCCCTCGACCTTCCAACCAGCCAGGCTTCTCCGAGGTGAGGACTCCTGTCTGCTGAGACGCTGGAAAACCTAGTTTGGGAGAAGAGTGAAGACACAGTTGATGCTGAACGACGTGAGTCCTCCAATTATTTTGTTTACCCTAACACTGTTTGCACCAGAGCTTCCTACCCGGCTCCCGTTGCACAACACTCCTTATCTCAGAGTGTCTGTGCAGTGGGGTTTCTCCAGTGGAAATCTTACTCACACGTTGCCAGCAGAGGATCATAGAATCATAGAATCACCAAGGTTGGAAAAGACCTCAAAGCTCATCCCGTCCAACTGTTCAGCTGTTACCAACAGCTCCCACTGAACCACGTCCCTCAACACAACATCCAGCCTTTCCTTGAACACCCCCAGGCTCGGTGACTCCACCACCTCCCTGGGCATCCATTGCAGTGCCTGACCACCCTTTCTGAGCAGTAATACTTCCTCATGTCCAGCCTGAATCTCCCCTGCTGTAGCTTGAAATTCTCACAGGGCTGTGGGGAGCACCGGGCTGGGGGTGATGGGGAGCAGGGAGGAGATTTCTTGCTCAAAGATCCAAACTTGTGGTGGAACCAACAGCACGGGGCTGTAAATCCGCTGGAGGATTTCTCACCTTATCTTTGCTGCTATCTCTGACCTTGGTGACAGATGCTGCTCCCTAATTGATGTGATGAGATCACTGCTGTGTGCACACAAAGGGTGGAGCTGCCGGAGGGCGAACGGCCCGGCTTCCCTCAGCTTCCCTCAGCCTGGTGATTTGTCACTCTCTTCCTTGGTGAAACTCGGGGACTTTTTTTAACCAAGTGTGAGGCAAAATATTTGGTCGGCAATGAGCTTGTAGGGAGCTCAGCAGGGCTTGGCTGGGACTTTGCTCAGGGGAAGGAAATGAATCTGGGCTCAGTTCCTCCTCTCCCCCCACCTCTCTGAGAATGAATGCACAGAGCTCCCTGGGTTGAATCAGAAGGAGGCACCCATGCGAAGGGGAACTGCAGCATTGGTTTGGAATGTGTGAATTGACAGACCTGGGTTTTGCTGTCGAGCCAGCTCTCGTTATTTTCACTTATTCCCACTGCATCTCTCAAACCTCTGTTCTAGGAGAAGTTGCTTTGAATAACGGAGCTGATTTGTACCTTCAGCATGCATCCAGCCTCCAGCCCTATCAGTAAATGAGCTGTATTGGTTGGTTGCTGGGTTTTTTTTGGTTTGTTTTGTTTGTTTCCTGTGCAGAAGGATGAGTAGGCAGGGCAGCACATCAGTAAGCAAAAGCCTTGCCATGTGAAATAAGGGATAGCAGAAGGAAATGAACTCAGTCGCTCATCAAACTGTGATCTTTTCTCTCTTCCAAGAGCCAAGGATGAAGCGGCGAGCATCAGACAGAGGAGCTGGGGAAACATCCACTAAGGCAAAAGCTCTTTGTACAGGGATCTCTGGAAATAATGCCAAGAGAGCAGGCCCTTTCATACTGGGTAAGCAGAGGGGGTTTTCTTCATCTTTCGTTTTCAGCTGATTGCTGCTGATGGCAAAACTGAAAGCAGAAGGCAAAGCAGAGCTGTAACTTGGTGCCTCACAGCTGGGCATCCTTGGCATCACAGGGCAGCAGTCGTGGGGCTTCTGTAGGCAGTCAGGCAGGGACCCGTGTGGCACCAGCACAGCAAGGCACGCCTGTCTTTGAAGATAAACTTGAACCCTTGCTCCTAATTTTTATTTTTTTTTTGCTTTATTAAACTACATTCTTAAAGTTTGTTTAAAAGCAACTTCAGGAAGCTTTTTGGTCAGAGCTCTGGGGATGGGTTTAACCCAGTTTGCCTGAAACGTGCTCTCAGGCAGCTCAAGAACACAGTGACTGTTACAGGGGATGTATGCCTGGGCAAGGCTGCTCTGCTGGCTTTGAGAGCTGCTAGAGCAGTTGCTGGTTTGGAACTAGTTGCACCAAGTGCTAAAAAATGATGGATTTTCACTGGAAACCAGCAGCAATCAGCTAGCTGAGTTGACACACAGTGTCCTCTGTTCATTTTAACTTGCAGCATGGAGTGATGCATGTGCCTGAGAGCCCCTGCAGAGCTGGTGGTTGGGTTGGGAGGAGTGGTAGCACCAGTTGCCAGGGGTGTTGTTGGTGCATGATGTAAAAGTCGTACGGTTCAGGCATGCAGAAATGGGAATTCCACAGCATAGCTGTGCTATGTGTGACTTTTCTTCTTTGCTTAATGGTTCTGCAGTTGACAACTTAAAGCACTGTCCACAGTGGTTTCATTGCTGTCTTTAGATCGTGGTTTGCAGAAGGACTCTTGGTGTCCTGAGAAAAAGGAGCTTGATTTAAGCTAACATAAACTGTGTGACACTTGGATACTGATGTAACCCTGAATTAGTCATTGCTGCTTGAGGAAAACAAGTCTGTTTTTGCTTTGTGCTGTTAGGTCCACGTTTAGGTAACTCCCCTGTGCCAAGTATTGTTCAGTGTTTGGCAAGGAAGGATGGGACAGATGACTTCTATCAGCTAAAGGTAAGCAAAGTGCAGGGGCTCCAGCTCTTCTCTGACTCTTGCTCCCATGACAGTGCTTGGTGCAATGTGGTGCAGGCTGAGCAGAGGGAATTGGCTGCTGAAACCCTCAGCAGGGCAGCTCTGCAGGCATTGCTCTGGGCTCAGGTTTAGCTCTGAGCTGGGGCTCTGCAGTGCTCTCCCAATGGTCTCCTGTGCTGCACCAAAGCAGGAAGGGCCTCTTGGGGTATTGGCAGAAACCACATGAGCCTCTTTTGTGTTATTCAGGCTCATGCTATGCGTTCTGTGCAGCTCTTAACTCAGACAGGCTTGTCTCAAGTGCACAGATACCAGTGTAATTACACCCAAGTGTTAAGTATCCACGTGATTACTTGAAATGTGAGAGAGCTTTGGGGGCGTTTCTTTTTTATTTTTCTGCTGGGAGTTGTAAAAGTCTTTTTTTCCTTTTCCCTGAAGATTCTCACCTTAGAAGAAAGGGGGGATAAAGGAATGGAAACACAGGAAGAACGACAGGGCAAGATGCTGCTGCACACGGAGTATTCTCTCCTTTCCCTGCTCCACAATCAGGAAGGAGTGGTTCATCACCATGGGCTCTTCCAGGTACAGCTGGTCACTGTGCAGCTCAGGGCAGTGCTGGTCATTGCTGCTGCCTCGAGCTGCTTTTGTGTGTTGTGCAGTTGGTGCTGACCCTCTTGTGGTGCACAGAGAGTTCCCAGCACACCGAGGTTCCTCAGCACTGCTTCAAACAAGCACGTTTGTGGCAGGGCCTTTGGGCTGTGAAGTGTGACATAACAGGGTTGGGATTTGGGAAGTGTGAGGACAGCTGGAGGTGCTCAGCACGCCCTCTGATACTCAGGGTTTGACAGTGACTGTTGTCATAGTGCACCTGGAGCCTGTCAGCCTGGTGTGATGACATTTATGGGCTGCCTCCCTGCTTTATTAACTCCCTGCAAATTAACTCGTGCTCACAGAGCGCCCTTCAGAACGGAGGTTGTGTTTTCTGGTCTCTCTGCTGCTTTATGATGGCTGGTAAGAAGGAGTAAGGTGCCAAGGAGCTGTTTTGGTGTGTTAGAATGAACCACTGGATGTGCTCATCAGCATCCCCAGTGAGTGAACGTGCTGCTACCACCTTCAGGGCTGCTCATGGATTGGAGTTTCCACTGGGATGCTGGTGTTGCTTTGCGTGCTGGTTACGTTTTGCCAACAGACTTTTCACTCCAGGCTGTCTGTGCTGTATCTTAAATAAAGGAAACGTGCAATTTGGTTGTGTCCTGCTTAGTGTTACGAAGGATCTGCTAATTTTTCTGCTTATTAATGATCCGGAGTGTTCAGTCTGAGCTGCCACAGGCTTTGTTTAGGTTTTACCTGAAGCTGCGTGTCTCGCTGTCAGTACTGCTGTACACATGTGAGCAAAGAGCACAGACTTTCTCTGGCTTCTCCAAGCAGAGATCATGCATCATCTCTCTGAAATCCCCACTTGGGACCAAGATCAAGCCCTGTAATTGCTTCCACTTATTCTGGGATCAGCCTGTATTTATTTTCTGGTGCTCTGTCTGATAGCTGCCTCAACCATTGCTCATGTGTTTGCCTCCCTGCAGGACCGAGCTTGCGAAATTATAGAAGATCTGGAAGCCAACAGAATGGTCAGAAAAATGAAGAAGCGCATTTGCCTCGTGTTAGACTGCCTCTGTGCTCATGATTTCAGTGACAAAACAGCAGATCTGATCAATCTGCAGCACTATGTCATTAAGGAGAAGAGGCTCAGCGAGCGAGAGACGGTCGTGATATTTTATGATGTGGTACGAGTGGTGGAAGCATTACATAAGGTGAGAGCTTTCCCTTTCAGGGCTGGAAGACTTGGTTTTCCCATGTTAGGTATCTTAAAACTTCCTCTTGTGGGCGGTGGGAAGGTTGGAAAGGATGGAGCTGTGTGTCAGTGGCTGCGTTCTGTGTCTGCCCTCGGGCCCCAGGCCATGGGAGCTTCCCCTCTCCTTTGGTTTCCAGTGATGATGTAGCATGGAGAAGGGCCAGCTGGGCCCAGGGCAGCTCAGGTGAGCTGTGATCCCAGAATGGTGGTGGTTGAGGAGGAGAGCAGAGGCTGATCGGCTGCAGGAGGCACTTCAGGCTGTTTCCCTTGGAAGCACGATGCATCTCACTGTAAGAATTGCTTCTGCTGAGCTAAAAGCTCAGGTTGAGTTTTCCATCTATCTACTGTGAGTTCCTGCAGCAAGAATAGATTCTGCTGCTGTTTGACCCTATGGAAAGGAGCTTCCATCTTTAAGCCTGGGTGTTCCAAGCTTCTTGGTGTCATGCATTTATACTGGGACGACTTCAGATGTTGTGGTTATTTTAACATAGTTGTCACTCAGTGTTCTGCTGTATATTAGAGCCAGCTCTGCCTTCCTTCCTTTACATCTAGGAGAAATTGCCTGAGAAGGTGAATGTTCCCCACCTGTATTTTTGTACTCTGAGAAAGAAGACAGCCTCATTTCAAATAATAATAATAATAATAAAAAAAATGCTGAGTGCTTTTATGTAAGCATCAAATTCAGACCAAAATGCCTTTGCTCATGTTACACAATTATGTATTTTTCAGAAAAATATTGTGCACAGAGACTTGAAACTAGGAAACATGGTGCTAAACAAAAGGTAAGTGTGCTGGAGAGCCCCTTTGTGGTTCCTACCCTGAAGCAGATGTTTTGTAGGAACAGAGCTGGAGGCATTGCAGAATGAGAGCGTGCTGTGAGAAGGCTGAGGGGCTTGGAAAGGAGCTGCAGGAAAATGCAGATCCAGTTCAGAGTTAGATAAGCTAATCTCCAGCAATGAATCGAGCCTGATGCAGGCAGTTCTGTCTGTGTAACACTTGGTGACCTCTTGTCAGCATTTCCTGCTGGATTCTGGCTTCTGAAAGCCAGGTTTGGTAGTGATCCAGAAACCTGCAAGGGAAATGGTTCTTACAAAAAAGAAGGAACTGAAACACGTGAGATGGTTCTGTTGGTGTCATTCACTTCCCATCGTGCTGCAGGAATTCCCAGCGCTGCAGTCTGCCCTATAATCACAGCGCTGTTCAACCTCTGGCTGCTCTGCTGCTGTGTTTTTGCTAGCAGCAAAATATTTACTTATCTAAACAAAGTTCTTCTGTCTGGACGTGCTCTTGAAGTGGCTTCCTTGTTCCCATCAGCTGCTTGGTGCAAGGCTCAGCACAGCACAGCGATGCACCCATGGGACACAGCCGCAGTGCCAGCGGGATGCGGCCGGGCTGGGCTGCACTGCTGGCTGCTCCTTGCAGCTTTGTGTCTCTTATTTGTGCAGTTGCTCAGCTGGCAAGCTGGTTCCAGTTCAGATACGTTGCTGTATTCTTCAGCATTACATTACTGGCTAAATATTTTGCACTCGCCTTAGGAATGAGTGGAATCCCTCTTTTCGCACTGTCTTTTCTTTTTTTTTTACTGTGGAATGAATAAAAGCTTGGAAGGCTTTGGGTCCTCAGGCTCCCAGTCTGTAGGAAGCAAGTGGATCCTGTTTGCAGCTTGCATTGCTCTTTTTCTCCTCCCTAATACTGTTTGAAAGGTTTTGCCTACCGAGGTTGAACTCATTGCTCTCCCCACCCCACGCACAGCAGGTGATGGTTTGTGGGGTTGCCTCCACACTGAGATTTTTTTTATATAGCTACTATACTTCAAGAAAAATCTCTTCTGCTTGCTTGTTTGATGCCTCCTTGCTAGGAGCAGGCAGGTAAAGGGTGCTTCATAAAGGATCCCTGCAGAGCTGCCCTCCTGCTGCAGGCAGAGCATGCAGTGCAGATACCTGCAGGCAGAGCTGCACGTCAGCTGTGGTGAGGAAGAGCTGCAGGCTGTGAAGCAGTGAGCGGTCTGGAAGGGTGGGAGAAGGTCACATCTGAGGGACTGCAAGAAAGGAAGCAGCCCTGAACACTTCAGTATCCTTCAGAACAGTCGGTCTTCTAAGTCAGCCTTTCCCAAATGCCACGTTGCTGTTCAGCCAGGGAGCTCTTCTGACTTCTTGCACTCCTGGAACAAGTCTGTCCGCCTTAATAATCAGCTCTCTGTTGGCAACCCACACTTGGTTTTATTTCACTTGTCTGTTAGATTTGTTGGGAGTGCTTCTTGGGTATTTTGACTGACTTCATTCATGCTTGTCGATTCCCATGGTGTGATATTGCTCAAGAGCACAGAAGTCGGTGTCTTTTTCAAGAAGGCAGCTTTTCTGCTCAGTGCAGTGAGTTGTGCATTAGGAGCCAAACTGAGTGACATGGAAGTTGAAACGTGGTGGTCATCCCAGAACGAGTTCACCTTCCCTTGAAAATCATATTATCTGCTGCTGCCAAGCCCATGCTCACAGTGTAGGAGGCTTCCTGGGGCCCATCACACGTGCTCCTTGTTCACCCATCCCTCTGCTTCTTCCCAGGACTCATCGGATAACCATAACCAACTTCTGCCTGGGGAAGCACCTGGTGAGTGAGGATGACCTTCTGAAGGACCAGCGGGGGAGCCCTGCCTACATCAGCCCCGATGTGCTCAGCGGTAGGCGTCGTGTCCTTCGTGCTGCCGCTTTCACAGCCCTGCTTGAACGCATCTTCTGCTTTCTGTGGCTCTTCACCCTGCTGTGAGGGCAGCTGATCCCTGAGCTGCAGGTGCTGCAGCAGCTCCGTGTTCCCTGCAGGGATCTGCTGACCGTGTGGGCAGCTGCTGGGCTGACTGCGAGGAGTTGCTTAAAAATAAAATGATCAGGGCAGCAGTTGTCCTTGGCCTGCAGCTTGTCTGCTCCTCAGGAGAAGGAAAGCAGCTTTCCCTGATGGCATTTAACTGTTTTCAGTGCCTGGAACTTCCAGCAGCAGATGGGGTTCCTGTTCAGCTGCTGCAGCAGGTTCTGTAGGCAGTAAGATCTGCCCTGCTGGCTGTGTGCTGCCTGTAGCTGAGCAGTGGCTCAAGCAGGCACTGGGCTTCTGGGTTTGCTCTCGTCCAGCTGAGCTGACCTGTGGTGTTGGTGGCTGCGTTTACAGCTGGGGCCGCATGTTAGAAGTTTCTCTCCACATAGACTCTGGTTACTAAGCATTAGCTCACATTGTGGAGTCTTCCCACTGACTGCAGATAGAATTGCTTTTGTTTGGAGCTGTCTGTCTGTAGAGCCTCACGTGTTAGGATGGGAAACTGCCTAAAACCTGAACACCAGCAGCCAGCATTCCTGTGCCAGTCTGCGGTGCAGGGCAGCTGCCCTCACAGAATGCCTGCCATTCTTTCTCTTGAGCACCGAGAGCACCTCTGCAGAAGATTTGAGTCATCCCTTACCAATCTGCAGTCACCCAAGCAGTCCTATATAGAGATACCCTCAGAGGGAGCTGGTCTTTTCTGCTCAGTGTGCAAGGCCCAGTAGGCCACCCCAGTAAATTCACACTCAGGTTTACAGGCAGCAGGAGCCAACGCAACTGAGCTCTTCCATCACCATCTGCCAGGCAGGTCTGAGGCTGCTTCCCTTCTCCTCCTAGGCCAGGAAGGGAGGCAGAGGCTGACAGGGAGATGGAATTCATGCTTTTTGCAGACCTTTCCTGTTCTGCAGGATATCCTGAGGCCCCTGGAACCAGATGGGTGATGCAAGCCAACTGCTTTGCAGGAGTTTGGAGCGGTTGCTGCTCAGCTGGAGGGTGTCTGAAGGGTGCACAGAGCTGCTCCTTCCTGCCAGCCTGGGGTACCACGCAGCCCTGCTGGCCTGCTGTCAGCAGCCAGGCTGCATCTGATGGCTTGTGCTGGTGCTTTGAATGGCCTCTGTGCAATTGCTGTGGGGCTCCTGTGTCCCTCAAAACTGCCCCAAAGTGGCTCAGTCTGCAAATTCCCTCTGGAGGCAGAAGTTACTTGGGGACATCTCAGGCTTCACCATCTGCAGAATCTGAGCATCCCTCTGTCTGTGTTGCTAATACTCCTGGGCAAGGGGAAACTGAAAGGCCTGGAGAATTAATCATTGTTTTAGTTGCTGGGAGAAGCTGTCTTCTGCAAAGAGATGGCTTGTGTTTTATGGCTGCCGAAATGCCACCGCAGGAAAAGCTGGGGGAGGAGGGAGAGGTGCCTTTTTTTGAGCGTATAAAGCGGAGAATAATTAGTACAAATAACAAATGCTGCAGCAGTGACTCACTGCGTGACTCAGAGGAAGCCGTTCCCTCCATCCTATGCTGCGGTGCAGCACTGGAGTTCAAGTTCTGAGCCTCACGCTTGCTTCTGTTGGCTGATGTGCTGTGTGCTCAGTTTGAGCAGCGCTGCGTGGCTGCTGGGTGGGCAGCTTCCCTGCAGGAGTGCTGCTGGGTGTCAGTGCAGCAAAAGGTGCCTGAGTTCTCATGTGTGATGGCATCAGAGCTGTTGTGTGTGGAAAGCCCTCCTGGGAGAGGAAGGGTTGGTGGCTGTGCTCTGCCTGTTGGCACCTTCCAGAGGTGCCAGGTGCTGCTGCATGAGGGTGTAACGCCTCCAAAGGTGGAGCAGCCCAGGATGCGATCCTCCCATGCTGCAGAGTAACCAACCCTGGTGCTTCCACCTCCTCTCCCCCCCTGCAGGTCGGCCGTACCGTGGCAAACCCAGTGACATGTGGGCGCTGGGCGTCGTGCTCTTCACCATGCTCTATGGCCAGTTCCCCTTCTATGACAGCATACCTCAGGAGCTCTTCCGCAAAATCAAGGCTGCCGAGTACACCATCCCTGAGTGAGTACCGCCTTCAGCCCCCTCCCCCATGGGTGAGCTCAGCCCCAGCCCCCCAGGCTCACAGCTGGTGCGAGCGCAGAGGCCGCAGGTTGGGAAGCAGCAGCAGAGCTGGGATGTGCTGTAAGAGCGAGGAAGGCTTCGTGCTGCAGGGCTGGGGATTCAGCCCCGGGTTGATCCTGCCTCTCTTGGCTCAGAGCTCTCATAGCTCTGCCCCACGCCTCCTGCTGCTGGCGCTGCCCACCTCAGACCCGGCCTCACCGCACGTTCTCTCCCCAGGGATGGTCGGGTCTCAGAGAACACTGTGTGCTTGATCCGAAAACTGCTCGTCTTGGATCCGCAGCAGCGCCTGACAGCTTCTGAAGTGCTGGATTCCCTCAGCTCCATCATAGCATCCTGGTACGTTGCAGAGGATGCGCTCCTCGAGCTGCATTACAGCACCTGTGGGCAGCAGGCTGCTGCCAAGCATGGAGCACCAGAGGATGTGCTGTGGGAGCTGCAGAAAAGCATTAAATCTTGTGTGTGAAGCTCTGGGGGCTGCTGGTGGGTGTAGCCAGCACAGTCAGAGCCCATGCTGTCACGCAGCCCATGCTGTCACACAGCCCGCGCTCTGTGGAGTTGCACAGTTTTGTTGCTGTGCTCCCCAGCTCACCCCGTATTTGACTCTTAAATCTGAGTGGTCAGGAATATCACACACGTACATGCAGCCAAATCTAGGCTCTTCCTGTAATCTCGTGAGGGGCTCTGCACTGCCCCTAAGTGTAAGCAAGCAGGTCTGCAAGAAGAGAAGAGCAGGAGACACTGCTGCAGAGGAGCACACTACACTGCAGGGTGAGAGGCCTTTTAAGGATAAATCTGGTGCCAGGACTGGCACGGACCAACAGCCAGAGAGGTTCCAGCAGCACGCTCCAGCAGAAACTCATCCCGACAGTGTGTGATTTGTGCAGCCCTCTCCCCAGCCCTGTGACCTCCTGTCTGCTCCGAGCAGCACACCAGGCCAAGTTCTTGTTCTGCCTGTTGAGTCAGCTGCTCAGCCTGTGATTTTTGGAGCCGCGGCTGTTTTCTCTCCCACCTATGAGAGGCGTCAGTTCCACATCCTGTCTAAAAACAAGAAGCAAAACCCTGGGGTTGGGAGGGGGAAGGTAGCATGGCTGCACAGCGGGTTCCTGATGGTGCACTGTCCCTGCAGGCAGTCCATGTCGTCGCTGAGCGGCCCTTTGCAAGTGGTGCCGGATATCGACGACCAGGTGGCCAACCCTGAACACCCACAGGAGGTACCTGAGTGTGTTGGTGTGTGTGTTGGTGTGTTGGTGTGTGTTGTGTTCGTGGGTGTTGTGCTGTGTTGGGTGTTGGTGTGTTATGTTGGTGCGTGGGTTGGTTGGTGTGGTGGTGTATGCTGTGTTGGTGTGCTGTGTTGGTGTGTTGGGTGCTGTGTTGGTGTCCTGGTGTGTGTGTGTTGGTGTGTTGTGGTGTGTTGGTGTGCTGTGTTGGCTGTGTGTTGGGTGCTGGTGTGTTGGGTGCTGTGTCAATATGTGGGTGTATGGTGTGTTGGTGTGTGTTGTGTTGGTGTGTGTTGTGTTGGTGTGTGTGTGCTCTGTGTGGTGTGTGCTCTGTGTGCTGTGTGCTCTGTGTGTTGTGTGCTCTGTGTGTGCGTGTGCCACCAACCCACAGGGGCTCAGGGCTGTGCAGGGCTGCGCTCTGACAGCCGCCTCTCCCGCAGGCGAAGGTGACGGAGGAATGCTCACAATACGAATTCGAGAACTACATGAGGCAGCAGCTGCTCCTGGCCGAGGAGAAGAACACTTTGCACGAGGCCAAGAGCTTCCTGCAGAAGCGGCAGTTTGGGAACATCCCCCCCGTGCGCCGCCTGGGCCACGACGCGCAGCCCATGAACCCTCTGGACGCGGCCATCCTGGCCCAGCGCTACCTGCGGAAGTAGCTTCCACACCTCTGGGAGCAGAGCGCGCCCTGCAGCCCGCTCCCACACTGCAGCCCAGCAGCAATACCGGTGTCCCACTGCAGAGAATCATGTAGCAGTTCTGAGCTCTGCTCGGGGACGCGCTCTGGACGGAGAAGACTTTTTTTCACGAAGCTCCTTTTGGAAGCAGCGGCCTCTCGGCGTCTTCTGGAATCTCTGTTTTTTTTAAATCGAAGCCTAGGTGACTAATCTGCTTCTAATCACGACTGTAATCTACCTCTCTTGTCTTTTTAACCGTGCTGTTCTCTGGACCGAGCAAAGCCCGTGGGGATGGAGACTCCCAGGGTGAAGCTGGCTTGCTGGCACGAGAGTTTGCGGCTGTGTAGCATGGAGAGTCGGCCGACTGCATTCGCTCCATATGGTTTGAATAAGCTTAGATTTATCCGGGTTTCTTGAAAGAAAGAATTTCCTGAAGCCTCCCACTTTCTACACCCCCCCCCTCCCCTCCCCATCTGCATCGAATCTCTTTCTGTTCTCACCGTGCCCCCTGCTGTTGCTGCACTGCCCTGGGTGCTGCTGTGCGGCTGGGAGGACCAGCAGCCCCCCGTCACCCAGCAGTCCGTCACCAGCAGCCCTTGGTGGCACAGGGATGGGAGCTGTCACTGCAGGCCGTGGCTGTGCAGACCCCCCCCCTGCCCCTGGTTGACTGGGGGCTGCACTGCGCTCAGCCCTGCGTGGCCTTCGCCCTCTCCCCCACCTTTCCCCAGCTCTTTTAGTTTCGTTAAGATTACACGATTTAATCTTTATTTTTTTTTTTTTCCTGTAGCTTATCCGAGGTGCAGTTAAAGTTGCATTAATTCTGACCTAGCTTTTTCACACGTCGGTTGTGGTACAGATCTAATACGTGGGTTATAATGTGAACGAGCTGCCCCCCATCATCCATCCGAGCTCTGTGTGCTCCTGTGGGGTGAGCAGCAGCTCAGGTGTAGCATTGCCTTCTCTTGCCCCTCGTGGGGCTGCTGCCTGCTCATGGCTGGAGCAGCAGGCGTTGCTCCCCTCGCCGCAGCCCCCAGCTGAGCCAGTAGCTTCGAGTCTTCGCCTTATTTATTGAGCTGACGGATCTGTCCCCTGCCCCACCACCTTCCCTTCTCCTCCCTGTTTCTCTTCCATTTCCCAAAGTCAAAGCAATACTCTGGGGCCTGTGACACGGAGTGCCATCGCCGGGGGATCACAGCTGTGCTACAGTGGACTGGAATGGGGGGAGGGGGGGGGAGGACACGAGTGGTGCGCTGGGGAGCGGTGCATGGCACGCTGTGGGGAAAGGTTCCTATTGTAAGGAAAAGGAGAAAAAAAAAAGAGAAAGAAAAAAAAAATTTGTATAAAGATGTTATTTTTGTACTGCATCGAACCTCCTCCTGCATGTCGGCAATAAAAGTTGGTACTGAGAGCCAGGTGCTCAGTGAGCCCCGAGGGGAAGCGGTGCCCCATAGGGGTGTAGGGCCCCCAATCCACGTGGGGCTGGGGGGTACGAGGCTGGGGGTCCTCACTGTTGGGCTCCTATGTGAGGAGCAGCGGGGTGGGTGCTGTTGCTGTGGAGCAGAATGGTGATGGCAGAGGCAGAGCCTGGTCAGCACGGGGTGCAGGGAGCCCTGGGGCTCAGGACGGCCCCACAGCAGTGCTTTGTGGCTGATGTCCCATCACTCAGTGCTGCAGGGACGTGCAGGGGAGGAGACCCTTGGCTCTTGCAAGTTTTAAGGGGTGGGCACTTCACTGTGTTTATGGTGGAGGGAACCTCAGCCTCATAGAGCAGCACAGGAGGTGCCCCTCAACCCCAAAGCTGTGTGCAGGGGAGCTCCAACGCTGCGTGGGGTCTCAGCTGTGCTGTGCAGCGGTGCCTCCAAACGCACCCTGAGCAGCAGATGGGACTGGGCCTATGGCTGGGAGCAGGACAAGGCTGCCAGGCTCTGTGCTGTGCATCCCAGGGGAGTGGGACGGAGCTGCCATTGGCTCCAGCAGGGAGTGCTGACCGCCAGCCTCCTCCGAACTATTTCCTGTTGCTGCAGCGTTAATGCTAAACAGACCTTTCTGTCTCGTCTCTCTACAGCCAAAGTGCGGAGGCTCTGCTGCCGTCCCGGTGAGTGCAGCGCGGGCTGGGGGGGTTGGGGGCTGGTGGGGCTCCTCGTGTCTGCCCACCCCAAAGATAACGGCTCCATGGTGTCCCCTACCCAGGGAGGGTGATGTTGGGGATGGGGGCAGTGAAGACGTTGCGCTCGGTGCTTGGGGACGCGGCGCTGAGGGGCTGCGGGGCTCCGTGCCTGGGGATGTGGAGTTCAGTGCTTGTGGCTACAACTCGGTGCTGGGGGATGCAGATCGTAGGGATGTGGGGAGGCTGAATTCATAGCATTTGGGTCCAGCAGGGGTGGTGCTCAGTGCGTGCTTGGGGACACACGGTTTGGAGACCACAGCGCTCAGTGCTGGGTGCTGTAGGGCTGTCCCAATGGCTCTGCTGGGGGGCTCAGGGCATCTGTCCCCTTCCTCTTGGCCACTGCAGCCACAGGCCCTGACCCCTGGGTGGGCAATGGCCTCAGGGCTGGCGTTGTGGTGGTCTTATAGCAGTTTTGTGCTCCAGAACCCCAGGGCAGGGCTGTGCCTCTCCACCCTATGGGGCTCAGCAGTGGCGGCTGCTCTGCACAGAGGGCACTGGGACCTTCCTGGGTGCCCCGGCAGCCCTGTTATGGGGTATCCCCACCACCTCATCCTGCCCGGCCCCACTGTATGCAGCACTGGACTGTCCATGGATGGTTCTGCTGATGTGTCACATTTTCTGCATTTCTTTCCTCATTCCTCCGTCCGTGGAGACATTTCTGGGAATTGAGAGCTTCCTTCTGCCAGGGCCTGAGCACTGCATCGCCTCCACCCCATAGCACGGCCCCAGAGCGTGGACCCAGCCCCACACCAGCAGCAGGGGGGGATTCTGGGGGGACCGTGGGGCTGTGCTGGGTGGGGGAAGGTGGCTCTGTGACACCCGGTGCTCCCTCCCAGGCCTTTCCCAGGGGAAGTTCAGCACTTTGTCCCACGGCAGCACGGGGTCAGTGCCCGCCCCAGTCCCTCCCTCTGCTCATCCCACCGATGGCCTTTGCCCCTCGTCCTGTCCTTGTCCCCGTGCCCCAAGGCAAATAGACGAAGCTCATGGTAAGCTGGGAGGAGCGCTGGGATGAGCCAGGGGAGTCCTGGGGCGAGGAGCACAGGGTGAGGAGGACCCAGCACTGCTCAGTGCTCAGCCCCACGTCCTGCCCTCAGGGTTGTGTCCCACGGCGGAAGGCCCATCCCGGTACCGCAGATCCGCTTGGCACCGGGTCCTGGAGGAACCACATCCTGCCCAGCCCTGCAGGAAGGGCAGAGGGGGGTGGGAGTGGGACCGTGTGCTCAGCGCCCAGCAGGCTCAGCACCGGGCCCCACTCACCCCATGTCCCCCAGATGCCCCACATGCGCTGTCCCCAGGAGCCCTGAGCGCAGCCATGGAGAGCCGCAAGCAGGACATGGAGCTGCTGAGCAACAGCATGGCTGCGTACGCACACATCCGAGGTGAGGACAAGGGGCGCATCCCCAGCGGGGACCCCGGGGCCACCCCAGCTCCCGTCCACCCTCTCAGCCCCGGTGTTCCAATCCCACAGCCAACCCCGAGAGCTTCGGGCTGTACTTCGTGCTGGGCGTCTGCTTCGGGCTGGTGCTGACGCTGTGCCTGCTGCTGCTGCGCATCTCCTGCCGGCCCCGCACGCAGCGCACGGCGCGGCCCGGCCCCGCCGACCTCAGCGAGGACGACGACGACGATGAGGATGAAGAGGAGGACACGGTGGACCGCGCCGCCTCCGAGTCGCTGCTGCCGATGACCGAGATCCCGTTGGAGCGCCACAGCCCCGGGGACGGCGCTGCGCCCATCAACGTCTTCGCGTCGGCCGAGGAGTTGGAGCGGGCGCAGCGCCTGGAGGAGCGGGAGCGGATCATCCGCGAGATCTGGCGCAACGGGCAGCCCGACCTGCTGGGAGCCGGCACTTTGGGCCGCGGGCATTACTACTGAGCGGGGGCCACGGGAAGCCGGCCGGACGGGGCGGCACCTCGGAGCGCCCTCAGCCCGCCGCTGTGGGACGCGATGCACTTGGAGCCATTGGTACGAAGCCGGGCGGGGGCCGAGCAGCCCCACGGGTGAGGACAGGGTTGTGGGCGCTGCCCCCGGCGCGGTGCTCCCCTGCCCGGTTCCCATTCCCGTTTCCATGCCCGCTGTCTTCGGCCTTTCCGGCCCGGCGCGGCTCCGGATGTTTCCCGGTGGATTCAGAGCCGCTCTCGTTCCCCCCAGCCCGTGCCGCTCTCAGCCCCGCCGCCCCTCCTTCCACATCTACAAAAATAGCTCCTTCCCAGCCTGGCCCCGCCGGATCCAGATGTTTTCCAGATGTTCTCCCAATCCCACGCCGGTGGCGCGAAGCCAAACCGTGCCGAGGGCTGGGGATGGGAAACGGAGCGGGGGTGGTGAGGAGGAGGAGGAGGAATCACAGAACTGTAGGGGTTGGAAGGGAGCTGCAGAGCTCATCGAGTCCAACTCCCTGCCAAAGCAGGTTCCCTACAGCACAGGTCGGCATCCAGGCAGGTCTTGAACATCTCCAGAGAAGGAGATTCCACCACCTCCATGGGCAGCCTGTTCCAGAGGAGGAGGAGGAGGAAGAGGCGCTGCTCCCTGCTCTGCTCCCAGCCGTGACTCTCAGCTTCAGTGGGGGCCACTGAGCTACGGAAACACAGCAGAGCTGAGAGCCCCAACCTCGAGCACGGGGGGCAGCGCGGAGCACAGAGGCCGCAGAGCAGCAGGGGGGCAGGGGGGGCTTCTGCACTCAGCAGTGAATTCTCCTGCAGCCGAAGGTCCCGAGTTGGTGACACTGAACCCATGGAAGAGGAGCACGAGCTGCAGCCCAAAGCCCTGCGCCCAACCACCAGCGGCGGGAGCAGGAGCTGCAGGAGCAGCGAGCACTGAGCTCCTTTTGTCCCGCGTCGGTTTAAGGGCTCAAATTCCAGCGAGAAGGAAAACACAGACCGCAAACCATCGCCCCACACCGGGCACAGCGGAGCTGCGCCTTCCTCTGCAGCGAGAGCCGTGCAAAAACCGCGCTGAGCAGCAGCGGCGGCGGCGGCGACCAATGCTGTCCTCCACGGCTGAGGGGCACGGAGGTTTAATGCCAGAATGCAGCAGAGGGGGGAGGAGGGCTGGGCAGCGCTGCAACACAGAAGCCGCTCCACCGCCTCGTTTTATTGCGTTTTATTTGCACAACCAACATCAGGGGTTTGCTAACGAGGAGCTGCTCGAGTGGAAAGAAACCGAGCTGCAGTCGCTGCGTGCGGGGGGCAGCAGGGAGCAGAGCAGAGCCCTGAGCCCAGCGCTGCTGCCCTGGATTCTCCTTGGAAGCAGAAGCCAAAAAGCTGCGTGTGGCCACGGCCGGGCAGAGCAGCAGAGATTTGCCTTCATTTTTATCAACAGATCAATTAAAAACATGGAAAAATCCTCGTCTGCGCTGCGCCGTTTGTAACCAGGGCAGCGCTGAGGGGCCTTAGGAAAGCGTCAGCTGGGGGTCAGGGCAGCAGGGGGGGGACAGGGCAGGGGGGGCTGCAATGCACCAGGCCAAATGCACACCAACAGCAGGCAGAAAGGGGGCAGCTTTTCTTTTCCCTTTAAAATCACGCTGTTTTGTTGCCTTACAAACAAAACAGAACAAAACAGTCATTTGTGAAAGGCCCCACATGAAAAAAAAAAAAACATTAAAAAAAACCAAAATCATAGCAGTTTGGTCCCAACACGTTAACATTTAGATCTTTATTCACATGCTTCATCGCTTCTTACTTCAAGAACCAAAAAGAGTTTCCAAAATTATCATTTAATTGATGTTACTACACAAAGGCCTAAAAGGAGAGTATGAAATTAAAAAAAACAAAACGGAATACACAACAGGGGGGGAAGAATGGGAAACGGGCGAGAAAACCCCGAGCTGTACTACTTCAAATTAGAAAAGAGAAACAAAACCATCGACTATTGGACTACAGGTGGGCACAAACCCAACCCCGCGGCGCCTTCAAAGCCCGTTGTCAAATCAACCCCCAAAACAAACACAGCCATGCCCTGAGGGCACGGGCAGAACGGCCTCACGCAGCACTCAGTGGGTGCCCAACGTCTTTGGGAAGAGGCGCTCCGTGCCCCAAGCACAAGGGAGGCGGCTGGGCCGCACGGAGGGGCAGAGCTGTGACAAGGCAGGGAACTCGGGGCTGTCAGGTCGTGGCAGAGCCCTCAGGGGCTGCTGGGCCTCTCCAGCACCGCCGCTACTCGGCCGCCGACGGCAGGCTGTCTTTGTCCTCTCTGTTCTCCGCCCCGCTCTCGTCGTCTTCGATTTCTCCTTCTTCGCCGCTGAATTTATCGTGAGCCCATTTGGGGCTGGTGCTCGACTTCCTGAACATGAAACGCCCTCGGCCTCGTGGGAAGGCGCCACGGCCGCGGCCTCTGCTCACCCACTTCTCAGCGCCTTCGCCCTCGCGGTCGTCGTGCTGCAGGAGGAAAGCAGGGACAGCAGTGACACAGAGCAGGGGGGCAGCGGGGAGAAGGCGACGCCGAGCTGCCCAGAGAGAAGGCAGGCAGTGAAATGGAACCTAGGCTTGGTCGTGTGAGGCGCAGGATGGAAGGGTGAGGATCTCACGCACCCCAGATCGGGAAGAGAAACAAAGGAGTTCTGACTGCTTAAAACTTCCCCTCTGTCCAAGGGCCACCCGTGGGGTGACACCCTGCTACCAGCAGGAACGAAGGAACAGCACAGAGCCACCAGGCAGGAAGCCGGAGTTCAGCGAGGGCAGAAGGGCCAAAAGCAGCACAGGCCGGCTCCTGCGACGCTGAGCAAAGGCTTTGCCTCTGAGAAATGGCATCTTTCAATCGAATCTAGGGGCCAATTAAAGGCAAAGCAAGCTGCCATGAGCAGAGCTCCTCCTCAGCGGGGAGCCAGCAGCTTCCTGGTGGTCACAAGCACTGGGGCAGCCCCAGCCGTGCTGCTCAGCTGTCCCCCACTCAGCACACCTACCAGGTAGTACTTCTTGCTCTTCGGCGTGTACTCGGGATCCCAATCCTCTTCTCTGCTTCTCTTTTGGAAGTCGTTGTTGCCACCACTGTTGCTGTTGTTGTTGCCTGAAAAGTTGCCTCTGCCCCATCCTCTCCCCCTCGCTCTGAACTGCTGTAACAGCAAAACATGGAAGGAAAGTCAAACAGCTGCGACGCGGCGCTGCTTCAGAGGCACCGAGAGATGCAGCACTGCTTCCCAGCAAGCCAGGAGCGCCTGCAACCCTTCAATAACAGCTCACAGCATCTCATGGTTCTCAATCCCCACGGATGACATCACCCAGTACAGTTCATTTGGAGAGAGGTGTTTCCTGAGCACCCAAAAGCATCCAACACGCACAGACTCCTGCGTACCCAAGGCACAAAGCTGAGCCTCCCCCCCAAGCCTGCCCCACTGACATACAGCAGCTTCCAGGCTGCACTCTGCACCTCGAGCTCAGCTGCCCGGCTGCGTTCCCAACAGCCTGGTTTGTGCTGCAGGTCTGCAGGGATCACATTCTGGCTCATCCACAACCAAGGACTTGCAGGCTTCTCCGTTACAGAACGCTTTAAGCGCAGCACGAGGCGCAGTGCCTGCCTCTGACTGCCCTGCAACTGACACCCGGGCTGGGGAAGCACTTACAAAGGTCCCTCGGGCTCTTCCTCTCTCATTTGGACCTGTGAATTCCTTAGTTCCAAGTCGGGACTTGTCAAAGCCTGTGGTGCTTTCCTCCCTCTCCTCAGGCTCCTCAGGATACTCCTCTGCTTTCACTGAATGCGAGGAGCGTGAGGACGACGAGCTGGACCTGGACCTCTCACGCACCCTTCGGTGTTTCCTGTTTCAGTGATAGGAAATAAGGGTGGGGAACAGCATCTGGATTAATCGCTCTGCAGTAACCTGATTGCTAACAAACTATTTTATCAGTGCCCCCATCCATACGATGCTTTCCTTTTCCTGCTATGGAAAGTCACAGTTCAACATCAGCTGTGACGTGCAGATTTAGCTGAGGTCCCAGGGCTTCTCTGTCAAGATTCTGCTGCTTTTAAAGCACTGGTGCTGCCTGCTAGGAGATCAGCAGGCATCTGAGACCAACAGCCTCTCTCTGCTCTCAGTCTCCCTCCCAGGAGAAAGGCATTCATTCCCAGAGTTTTCCAGTCCCATGGGAAAATCAAGTAAATAGAAAAGGACTAAATGAAACTTGAGGCAAAGTTACTTCAACGCTGCCACTGCCTACAACTGGAGCAAGAAGAAAAAGGGACTTACCCACTGCGACACACGGAGCCTTCCCACTTCCCATTTACCTTTACCAGTTACTTTACTTTCCAGATAGACACAATGGCATCAAGAAGACACGCAGGGAAATCACTCACAGCACCGCAGTTATGTCACAGGTGCACAAGCACAAATGGAGGCTGTCTCCAGCTCTTACAGCAGAAACACGAAATGCAGAAGGAAATGGCTGTGGGGTTTCCTACATACTTTTTCTTTGAGCCTTTGTGACTTTTCTCCGTTTTCTCAGCCGATCTTTCCCTTGAGTGACTCGAATCCCTGGACTCCACCGACTCTCTGGATTTATCACGTTTAAGATCTCTTTCCTTATGTTTTTTACGGCGCTCGATATCAAGGCGCAGGTCCACAGGGTCGTCCTTATATTTCCCTTCAGCCTACAAGGGCAGGGATGGGGAGAGTTCAGCACACCGACCTACAGCACCCCATCTCAGCACCATTACTTTACTCCTGACTGCACAAACAGGGTTGATCTGAGTGCTATCGATGCTCCATTTTAAGGTGCGAAACGATGCACTGTCAAACTCAGTTTTTATCTGTTGGCTTCCCATCTTTCTACATGTTTAACTTTTGCCCTGTTTAAAACAGCATTAGAACAGCCTGCTCACAGGGGAATGCTGACACCTATGGGGCACCACAGCCAGAGAGATGAGAGCATCTTGGAAACCCAATCTGTGTGTATGTGTGGCAGGACTGTGTGTGGCTGACTTCCAGCCAGCAGTGCTGGAAGGCCTGGGGACACTTCTTACAGGGCAGCAGCACCCAGCATGGCAGCAGGGCTCCACAAACTTAAGGAGAAGCAGCTGTTTGCCAGCTGGAGACACCTGGGGCAGCAATCGTTGAGTGCTAAGAGGTGGAGGCCACTGGAAACACAGTGATCAGGTTGTTTATGTGGAAGAATCTCACTGGCGTGGGGCATGGAAGGTGCCAAAAATCCACCCTGCTCTAAGCAGCACCCAGCTCGTGGCCTCTGTATCTCTTAACACAGTCAGCTACACGAGCTGGTGATGCTTGCTCGAGGAATGGCTGCTAAATGCAGAGCTGGCCACAATGGTGCCTGTGGGAGAGGCGCAGCTGTGTTCCCTGGGGCGCTGGGAGCTGCAGCCCTTGGGCCAGGCTCTGCTCTGGGTGCACAGCACCAGCAGCACACTGCCAGCACTGTGATT